CTCGCCCGAGTTCTGTGGTCAGTATGCGAGGGCTACCGAGGGGTGAACGACCTCGGCCAAAGAAGCTAGTTCGAATTGGGACCCCAAATGTGGGATCGCTTACCGGTAGCTCTCGGAGCCTCGGACCATATGAGACACAGGAATATCCAAGTCCTATGCCCTCAGAAAGTGCGCCGGGAAGGAGCGAAACCTACGAGATTGTACAGGAGATCAAACGCTTCTACAATGGTGGAGACGCCACGCGGAATGGTGTGGATCATAGCGGCAGCGGAGTCCCTTAAGGGTTGCGTCTCCTCTGTGAACAGGATCAGTGATCGGTTCATGGCAGTGAGTTAAGACACGAAAGAGGATTATTGGACCACAGTGACTGTGTACGCACCACAATTCCGGTCGCTCCGAGCTGGAGAAGGACAAGTTCCACCTGATTCTGGACGAGAGCATAGTACCGATCCCGGGGGCTGATTATCTCACCAGCTGGTGACCTAAATGACCATCTGGATAGTTACAGAAGAAGTCTAGATAGGGGGGGGTGGAGGCTAGTGAATAACAGCAAGGAAAGCTGGCTGTACATCACAGTTTCCAGAACAAGGGAATACGCAGAAACTGGGGTGCTCTCCAATGATTCCCAGCTAGTTGGGCGCTCTTTACACCCAATACTCACCCTCGTCACAGAATCGGGTTATGTTTCTTTGCTTTGGGGGAGTTAGTTTGGCAGTAACTCTGTCCTACGTATACCTTGACTTCTTGAAAAAGTCTATAACATTAGCTTGCTATATCAAAAGACTAGACTCCTTTGCGAAATGCTATTTTGAAAAATTAGAAAAATTCCTTCTAGGAACGGAGATGATGGGGCGACACGCAAGAGGTCACCTGAGACACGAACAACCGTGTGAGGAAGATTTATACATTTGTAATCCTAACTTCTAATCATCTACAATCAATCAAAAAACATAAGAAGTCAGCGAAATACAATAATAATATCTTATTGACTCTTAATCGATCAAAATACGAACTTTCATTTATTATCGACCCAAAAAAAGAATCTCATAAGGTCCGCTTATCGTCTTCGCTTGCGTGGCGTTGTCGAAGAATACACCGCCGTCTAGAGCGCAGTACTTTGGGCATATGCCTTTCTCGCCTCGTCGACCACGTGGCCCAGGTGGACCAGGCAATCCTGGTGCTCCGCGCGCATACCAGGCTCGCCATCTTCGCCGGGAGGCCCTTTACGGCCGGCATTCTACCTTTCGCATGTAACAGTTACGAGATTGATGAGCCGAGCTTCTTCCTACTTTGCTACATGAAGAAATTAATACCACAAAATCATTTCAATTATTTAGATACGCGGATCCCAGCTTGCTTTTTTTCCGGGATACGCAATTCTAAACTGGGCATTAGAGGGGGTAACAGAAGGACGAGACCGCATACCACCTACTGAAGGCGAAATGCGAAGGAGAGAGGAAGCAAACGCGAGCTAGTCTCCGTGAGCGGTGACGGAACCTCTGCTGCGCCTGGCTACCCTTTTCTGATATATTGATGAAGGGTGCAAAACGCAAGCTCATCTTTTTGGGCGGGAGCTGCCCGCGGCAGATCTCTGGTAGCCTTACAACCATCTTATGGCGCGTGGAAGTGCTATATTTAGATATTGTGGACCAACTACCTTTTCCTGCAGGATCTTACCGCCTCCAGTAAAGCGGCTGCCGGCTCGAAGGTTTGAGACATCGAAAACTCATCACTTTATTCTCAATCCCTTTACCGCCTGCGTTCATACTTCGGCAGCATCCGCACCAACCAAATAGCACCCAGTGGCGTCAGCCACTAAGAAATTGAAGCTATCGCGTCGAGACCGTCTACCAGCAGTCTACCAGCGTCTTACTAGCTAGCAGCGCAAGCACGTTATTGCAGAGTCATCGAGCGGGCAATAGATGGCTGGGCTAGACAACATCTGGTAAAATAAAATATTGGGAAAGATAGGAGAGTTAAGGCACCAGACAGTGTCTATGGGCATGCTCTCGGTTCCCGACGCTGCTGGTCGCTAATAGACTCGCTGGCAACGTTGTAGATCGCTTGTACTTCTCTAGCCCCTCAAGGACGCCACCGCTGATCGCTAGATCGATTGTCTATACTTTTCTGGCTGTGGCGGACATTTCGAACCCTGGTGGACGCTGGACGGAAAGGTAGTATGATTGCGCCCTCAGATTTTCTGCCAGATCCTGAACTCTATCTCTAGGAAAACATATTACATATCGAATTAGTTCTTGAACTAATAAATGAATACGGCCAAACTGTGTTAAATTTGTACAAACAAACAAATCAATAAAGCCATACTATGTCAATTCTTTTTGGTAAATTTATTTGAATGTAAAAAAAATTTTAGAAGGCGAGAAGGCTATATGAAGAGAGCTCTGAAGGGCAATAGGGCTTCTGAGGTCGCAGTAGACAATTCACAGCACCTGCTCTGTTAGACGTTCTATTCAACATTAGTTCGTTAATCAATATATCGATCTTTATTCAATAAATCTGTTCTGCTAGCACTCTTGAGCGCACAAAAATCAATGGTTGTGCTATTGCGTGGCCCTGACCAGCCCCTGGGCAATTCCCAGATCGGCACAGAATTTGAAAAAACAGACTATTGATACACTGCCCTGCTGTGAAGATAACTCATTTCGCTCAGCCCCTGAGGTGGTTCCACAGTAAATCTCGAAGTGGCCCCACTTATCAGTTACTGCCCTCTCTTCGGAATTTAGGCCCAGATTTGCCCGACTGTTCCCCGTGAGTGGGACCGACTGCGATTTCACCTACTGAAGTAAATTGTTCACCTGAATTTGACACCTATGTCTTCTTTGAAACAATCGCCACTTGGCGAGCCCAGTGGATTCTGTTGCCCAGTGTAGTAAACTTCAGTCATGACCTGGTCCTTGCAGGTCTATAAAACCCTCCAGAATGAATAACCCATTAATGCAACGCCTCACCCGATGTTTCCATCGATTCCCGGTCGTCCTGGAGGTCCTCGTGGTCCCTGGGGCCCAGGTTCGCCAATGACACCTGGTTCACCGTACTCTATTTGCCCTAACTCGCAAGAAGCTCCTAAAAGGACAGATTGTAGAAGAACTGAAAATCCGCGATTTTCGAATGAAACCTTACCCGATAGTCCAGGAATTCCAGGCACTCCTGGCATGCCGGGAGAGCCCACTGGTCCCGTGCGACCCTTGATACCAGGCTTACCCAGGTACTCCTGCTCTTCCCTGTTTTCCAGGTATACCAGGCTCTCCTGGTGGGCCGCGATCTCCCTGAACATTGCAAATCACTCAAAGATATGTTCTGCGATAATATTCCGCAAGAAAACTGTCAACCACTGTGCCTTCCCCCTTTCAGCGCCCCGACGTCTAGCGGAGCGTGGCAATGGGAAACGCACATTGGTTAGCTGTGGCCGCCCATTCGATCATCGCGGAATGCGCCGGACGGTGATGACTAATGACAAACCTTCGCCCCTGGTGGTCCTGCACTGCACTTTATACAAAAATCCGATGTGACGTAGAGAAACGGTGCCATCATAACTCGACCAGGATCACCATTGATGCCGTTCATGCCGGGTTTTCCTGGTCGTCCTGGTCTACCTGCTGGTCCCCGTGGACCAGGTGGACCAGGCAAACAGCAAGCTGCCATCGCATTCCTTGCTTTTGGATGCCCGTCCAGGAACCTGTTCAAGACTCGTATTGCGTGGGTTACGAACACCTTAATGGGCTATAATGAGGTCAGCCGACTTGCTAAATTCGAGTTTGAAAACTTACGTATTGGCAGCGCTTTCAACTCGACGACATCCTTCAGGAGATCCCGTGCAGTCATTCTGCATGTGGTAAACCCCGTCATCAAATTCTTCTGCACACGGACCAGCGTAGATGAAAAGCAGTGGTAGGCTAATACAAGCCGATAAAGCGGTACACAATGCAGTAATAGTAATCGATAAGGCTAGAATACGGTAGGCACCAAGCCTTTGATCCTGACGCATGGCTGAAGGGGAGGCCTGAAAACATGAGTTCTCATGAAGGAGTGTAGACTAGATGGCGGCGTTTCGCTAAGGAGGAGGGGCGTGACATACCTGATGTGTCACTACCTCCACAATTGTACAATATCGTCAAAAATCTACAACAAACTTGACTGTCATAGGGCATCCCATTAGGCTGTTTTGCAACAAAACGGTGAGCGGGGGAGTCGAATTTCGCATATAGATTAATTTTTTTTTTTTTTTTTCTGTTTTTGCTTTTTGGGCTTAAAATTTTTTCTTAGCGGCGGCGTTTTGGCTTCCATGCTTCTCCACTCCCTCATTCCAATTCTTCAGTGGTAATAGCCAGTTTAGAACTAATGTTTCTGGATGTTGCCTAGGTATCTGGGCGCATATCGCGGAAAAAAATACTGTAAAAGGGAGAAAATTGGAAGGGAGGGGCGATAAGGGCCAGGGGAGGGTCGTATCGTATGGCCCCTCGATGATCTGACCGCGATGTTTGCTCGGTGCAGTGAGTCCCAGGCTTTTATCAGTCGCGCTTGATGTTCATATCATTGAATCATACAAGACCGATTCACCTCGACGCGAATCAGAATGGGGGGCTGGCGAATGAATGCGCTCCACGCTACATCATTGCGCCACTAAGCTGTAATTTGTTATCGCAGTTGTGAATTGGAATTACTCAGGACGTACAGGACTGGTGGTTTGCGGCCGCGATCAATTCACAGGTGTGCGACTGGATCCACTCGCGAAAGTATGAAACGCGACTAAGACATGTAAGGACCGCAGAATCGAGGAGAGGAGGGTTCAAATTTTTCTTCTTCTTCACTACTTCTTCAATGATTCCATGTCACCCGTCCCTTCCTGCTGAGCTCTGGCGTTGCTCATGATGGAAGCTTATCCATACTTGAGAAAAATGGCAGGGAAGAGAGGGCACAGAGCTGGCCGAGCTTTGATGAGGTGCAAAAGACTCAATGAAATGACGCTGGCAGGGCACTTCTTCGCTGGGGTGAATCTCTGTGGAATGCGACCCCCTTGTCCATTCTACCACCATCTTATCGAAAGTAGTTATATAGGTTTCGCAATTCGAAATTTTTTTTCAAAGGCCCTTGCGAACCCCTTTCATCTTCCTCCGCCAAACAAATTCGCCTGATGAATGACCAGGACGAGCAAGTGGGACCACCCATAGATACCAATCATGTAACAACGCAAAAACGAAAGTTGTGCTATGAAATCAAAGGTGATGCGTCCAGACGGTGACAAATGAGAAGCAAATTTGCCCGTGAGTGCAAGTGAGGCTGACACCGATTGCTATCGCATTTGGCGCAATCCTGGACTATGGACTCATAAACTTAATGTATCCGATCTAGAAATGACCAGCAAGTGATGAGCACCGGTTCGCCAACACGTAGTTTCTGAATTGGACCTGATTTTGTTAGCATTTAATTCTCATTCGTATGCGGATCGCATTAGCCAAGAAGATTTAGCGCCTTTCAATGAGGGCTATTTCGCCATAAACGGTACTTCGTTTCTATTTGTTCGCAGAAAGATTCTTCAAAGTTGGGAGATTGCGTCTTCGATAAGACACACTCGGTTCGGGAGCTAGTCCCATTTTGTTCCTCATCGAGGGGACTGTTTTCTGGGACGCAGTTGATTTGGCGCGAAAGAGCTACACTCAAATGAGTCAACCGGAGGAAATGTTTAGCTGACGGAGCTGTTTCCCTGCCAACTCGTGCAACCTGGAAAGTTGGTGCAAAATGCAGAGCTGCTGGCAAGGTCCCATATATGCTTGTTTTGTCAAAACGGAATCGGAGCACGTCGCACTTTGGGGTCCACAGCGAGTGGGGTTCTATTTGGTCGCTGGAGGGAGGGAAGGCATAGATTGCAAAAGTTTCCCTTCTGCGGCAGAAAGTACCTTGGAAGGAAAAGAACTCAAACGGAAGTGTCAAGCCTGCGGAATGTTCGGGAACCTATCTGTTTTTATGTCGCACGTTGGGACGTTAGGGTCCCTCTGCACAGACAAGAAAGTATTGGGAATCAGTGAATCGATGTAACAGCATTCCGCCCGCTTGATTCAGTTTCCCAGGTTCGAGGTGCGTTTCATTCCCATGTTATACCGCCTCCGGCACTCTCCGCGTTGATGTACGTTTTACCGCATTTAGCTCACCCATTTGGACGAGGCCACCTCCACGCTCACCACGCAAGCTTGGAAGGGGAAGCCTATCAGAAAGGACACTCCTTGAAATCCAAGGCACAGCGATGGTTGATGCCCCATGGGGAAGGTCGTATCTGGCCGCCAGGTAGGGGGGGTCGTATGTTTTTGTGCTGAGAAAAAATTTATTTGTGGTATTAGGCTTTTCTCGCATATCACGGAACGGTTATAAAAAGGGGGGGGGGGTCGTAAAGAGTGGGGCAGACAGTAACGAATAGTGACAAAATTGCGACATGGACACATTTGCGCGCGTGGACACACATTACGCACAAGTTGCACCATCCCATCACTTCTGCGCGGACCTCAGTGCGCGGCGCATCCAAAGTCAGCGTGATCGGCGCTAAACGAACCATATTCTGCTCCTGCTCCACCACAGGATACGTTCTACATGCGTTCCTGGTTATTCGAACACGCTCACTTGAACGGTACACAGGAAACGGGTTTCTTCGCGAGCTCGTAGTACTGCGCGAGAAATCCCCATCGCCAGATCTCATGAATCCCGAGGACTTCAGAAACAGTTCAATAGGTTTTTAGAAAGAGCAAGTCTTCATAACTTTCGAATCCGTTCTCAGATTTGTGAAATGTTGAGTTACAAAAAAATATATTGATTCAAACCTGTTCCTGAAAAAAATCCCCATCGAATCCCCAAGGCAATTTCTCTGTGATTTTTGCGACCTTCATGAACATTTTAGTACTTTTAGGAAGATCAAACCTTCCTCTACACGAATACGCTTTCCTCTTCCCCATAGGTCCGCTTTTGAGGAAGTTATGGTCCTTCAAAGACACCCTACTTGCTGAAAATTTGTTTCCCACGGCTGGTCCTGCCCAGAATTCCCTTCCCCCGGTCCTTTAATCGATAGTCGACAACCAGCTGATTTCGGCTGCGCTGTTGTGCATTTCTGAGCATGTCTCGACGCCGCACAGCTCATTTAATATTTCAATTCTCTCAACTCAATTCTTTCAACTCAATTTCACAAGGATGCTGTACGCTTATCGGCTATTGCCGCTATTTTGTTTCCGGTACGTTGAATCTGTTCTGATCACTTATTTTTGGAGAAGACCATTTCCCTCAGTCCTTGTGTTAAGCTGAAGTTGGACGATCTAGTTCATAAATTAGTCCCTCATATGAGCTTCTTTTCATGTAAACAGTTATAAGCAGTAAAGTCTAGTGAGGCTGCTGTATGACTTCGATTTTATTGTAAATAGAACTTAGCGTTGCCTTACTGAATTGGAATATTTGGCGGTATTCCACCACTACCGCTCCGAAAACTCAAAAATTGTCTGTCATTTGGGGTTTTACATTTGGACTCGCCGTCGAGCTTGTCGTCAAACAAACGTTGTATGGGCGCGGGATTCTGTGCAGCTGTAACGGCTCGTTCGTGATGTTAACATGTCTCGTCCTATTTCTGGAGTTATTTCATCTTTTGTGAGGCTTTCCTCATTCATTTTTCTCGCTTTTTCTTTTGTTCTTTTCGTGTATATAAATGGAGGAATTGTTTTGGGTGATGCCTCGGCGCACCAACCACGTTTGCATCTCGCGCAGTTTCTCTACCTAAGCTTGTTCTCAGCTGTACATGCTTGGCCTCACGCTATTCCTCGACTTCGTAGCTTGCTCTCCAAAGTTGTGCACCCGCTTTCAGCTTTACTGGTTGTTTCAGTCGCTTTATCAGCTCATTACTTTTGCATTTGCCACCCATATCTCTTGCCGAACAATCACATGTGACATTTTATCTGTGTGGCGCTGGGGCTTTCTAGTTCCTGCTCGTCGCGTATATTAGGTTGGCTAATAAGTAATGGCTTTTTCAATTGAAAAATTTGTTCGAAAAGTGAAACGTTTTGCAAGCAAGTTATATATCATCTGATAGGAAACTTCTCGTAGTATAAGAATATCAAAAAAGCTTTGGTTGGATATAGTTTTTGTGAATTTTTTAGTCGTTGAAGTTGGAAGTGAAGTCGGCGAAAATTAGCATCTTCGACAACTGCCTCTATTTAGAAATTTCATGCTAATAGTTGAATTAATTGAATTTGAATTGATATTCTAATACTACGAGAAGTTTGCTATTAAACAATGATAAATTGCTCGCAAAACCTTTCACTTTTGAAACAAATTTTTTGAAAAAAAACGGCCATTACTTATTAGCCAGCCCACTAGCAGTTATTAGCCAGCCCACTAGCAGTGGGCTGGCTAATAAGTAATGGCCGTTTTTTCAATCGAAAAATTTGTTCCAAAAGTAAAACGTTTTGCAAGCAAGCTTAATATCGTTTAATAGCAAACTTCTCGTAGTATTAGAATATCAAATTCAAATTCAATTAATTCAACTATTAGCATGAAATTTCAGGTGGAACAGACGTGAGCCTGCCCAATATGGCAAGGTGAAGGTTGCCAACTTTGAAATTCTTGAAATTAGTTCCAAAGCGTCCTATTGAGATTCCCTTGCTGAGACTTCTACCTCAACCTTTTCCGAATGTATGGAGCAGCTTAAGCGATTTTAGCACTTCGAGTAGACGTAAATAGAGGCAGTTGTCGAAGATGCTAATTTTCGCCGACTTCACTTCCAACTTCAACGACTAAAAAATTCACAAAAACTATATCCTCAACCAAAGCTTTTTTGATATTCTTATACTACGAGAAGTTTCCTATCAGATGATATATAACTTGCTTGCAAAACGTTTCACTTTTCGAACAAATTTTTCAATTGAAAAAACGGCCATTACTTATTAGCCAACCTAATATTAACTCCTCATGTTCGTTGAGCCTCTTTCACATACATACAGTCGTGATCCCTCCGATTGG